TGCAGAACTAGAGAAAGCAGAGAAACAGCTGCAAAAAGCTCAGAGTGCAAAGAAGCAGTTGGAGCATGAGGAATGCAAACTTTGGCTTGATGAGATGAAATTAAAGGTCAAAAATAGGTGAAAGGTTTTAGCCTATAAGAAGAACATATCAAAACAAATTGTTATAGGTATTAAAAAACTAGTTAGATTGGGGAAAATAAGTGTAAATTAGAATAATCTGTATCTGTGGTAGAATTGTGAAGTTTAGTTGAGCCACAAAAAAAGTTCTGTTTAGCCACAAAAAAGTTCTGTTGAGCCACAAAGATTTGTGTTGAGCTACAAGTTGTGTGGAGCTGTAATGTTGAGCTGGCAGGCACTCTGGAAGAGTGCCCCAGGTTGCGAGCGAGCGAACAGCAGGGGGTTGTGGCTGCAAAGCCACAACCGTGGCACGATTATGGGTTCTTGTGTACTCCAACTTGCCGATCTTTTCTACAATTCTGGCCGCCTCCGTACTTCAATGCAACGACAGGGTTTCTTGTTTTGCTCGATTTTTACTACAATGTCCGAGTACTCCAGTGCTTAAACGCTGTGCCGTGCAGAAAAAAAAGAAGAAAAAACTCAATTACCCCACTCTCGCATTTCTGGTCATCGACACAACCTGACCGCACTGTTTGCCTAGGCTTTAAAGCGGTGAGGTGAAAGCGACTCATCCGGGATTAAGGTCTCGGCAAATGGCGACAACCACTCACAGTTGCTAACTACGAGTACTAGTACAGTAACAGTTCCAGTCGTCCAGTCCGTCCAAGTCGGACGGCGCTAGCACTAAGTTTCCTTTTATAGATACCATATTAGTCTATTTTGTTTATTTATTCACTTACTAATTTTTCCTATTTTATCTTTATTCTAACTTGTTGTGGTACTAGTGTGTGTCTTAACTGGGTGCAATGGCCAATTACTAGTATAGTCGACTGCCGTCAGTCCCGTCCAGTCGCAGACGGACGGAGCACTGATGACAACCTTCTCAATCGGTCCGGATGGCTAGGGTGTAGGACAGAGAGCTAGCTAGCGGATTGACCCTTTTCGCCTTGCCGGGTGTTGATGGATGATCATATCATACCTAAACGATCACGCCGCCAGGCTGCAGGAGAGAAATGCAATGGTACGAGCGCAGAAGCCAAAAGCCCAGACCAGTCGCAAATTGGCCTGTCTCTGATTCCAACTTCCTTAATGGTTTGGTTGTTGGGATAATCATACCCGGTGGCTATTCCCAAGTTAGGAGTACCATTGGACCGACCGCCAGAACAAGGATCTCGCTAATTTCCGATTTTCGCGAGCCCACTAAAAAACCAATCTATCATATTAGTCAACTAATCACCGTCGAGTTTAACCCGACGGCAATTCCTCCGGACCCTACCCCGAACCCCCCACTGCGCACAAAAAAAAAACCAATTTGGTCCGAACAAAACCAGGCTTTTGATATCATATGTGAGGCATATCTCGAGTGCTGTAGAATTGTGCCCTTCCCCTACGGTATTAACTCGACAAATTGAGAAGCGCCTCGGTACTCGAGTAGAGTTTGGCCGTCTGAAACAAGCGGATTGGGGAAGATGGTAGATTAACTGGAGCTTGAGGCTTCTTGACAGCGGTTAGAGTCGATCTCCCAATTCCCCTTTTGTTCACTAGACTCCCTACTTGAGGAGTGGAAATTTTGCCTCAAGGCGGAGATTAGAACCCTGCACGGAGATCCTCAATTTGTTGAGTTAATCTGGTACTCTTGCAGGTATCCTGCGCTCCTTCCTAAAACCGGGGAAAACCAAATCGATAAAACCTAACCAGCAGCATTTCGATTCGGGCCAATGGGGGAAGGAAGGGAGATGTGATACTGTATGGGGAAAGAGGTTTTAATTAGACCTCAAGGGAGAAAAAGAAACTATTCGCCCAATGTATATCTCGATATGGCAGGAGTCGGGATCGAGATCCCGATTACCACAATTTCATGGGTATTGCCGCATAGCAGACTTTTAGGCTTGCATACTACCCGGTGGTGTCGTGCTCAAGGCAACCCCGAAAGCTAGGGGACTGTACTACGAGTGTACTGTCCTTGCAACTTGTAGTATCAATTGTAATTGTCACAGCTGCACTTGGCTCCCAAACCGATGGAAAAAGGCTGGAGGATGTACTAGTACACGCGCCCAGCGAGAAATGCTATAGGGTGCCTAAATGTTCACGAGAAAGGATTTCTATTGCAAGGGCATATGTTTAATATTCCATGGCATACCATCAGTAGGGGCTAGGAAATAAGACCGTCCCCATGCCCGAAACTCAGACACCCCTTGAGGCCTTTCGATGTGTTCAGTGTAAGTGATATCTTGGCAGACACCTGTCATCTTTCTAAGTGAGCAAACTCTAGTAGAAAAAGGGGCGTAAAACTGCAGTAAAGAAATTTAAAAATAACCCCCACTTGTCTTTGATTCCTAGAGGTTTCCTATTGAATTGTGACTGTATAAAATGCATTGAGAAAGGTGCATTCTGGCACGGGTGAGGCCAAACTTCTTTACCCTTTTTGGGACAGATCACATCCAAAGGCCCCAAAATGGGGTCTGGGTTTCGGACGCGGGGACGGTTTTTATTGCCCAGCCCCTACCGATGGTATGCCATGGAATATCAAACAAATGCCCTTGCAATCGATGGTATTTTAAACCTTTTCTCGGTCGGACAGCTGTTACAGCACCGGTACCATATGCTGCGCCAAGGATGGCGCGATAGTTGTGGCATACCAGAACTCTTGTCCCTACAAGTGCTCGTACCAGGGAGGGCATTCCGAGAGTTTTCCTTTGACTTTAGCCTATCGTATTGATGGGGTACTGACGGATATCCTCCCTCGCTCTAGTGCCACTGCCGGCTCCAGCGCCCTTGAGGGCCTCGTGTACCGGTACCAGTACTTAAGTTTGCCGTCATCTCGTGCGCAGCGTGTACCGTGTATTACTAGTACAAGGACACTCCCAGATTCACCGTGCGCAGCAGACCCCGCAATCCCGGGAAGGAAAGCTGTGCATAAAAATGGCGGGCTAAACCCTGGCTTTCGTCTCTTGCAGGAATGTTAGTGCGACTACCGCTGCAACAGAGCGGGATTGGTGGGGATTACGGTAGGAAAGATGCGGCACGGGGATGGCTTTTCCCTTCATTTCTTCACCCGTACCGTAGCCAAAAAGACCGCTATATCTGTTTCTTGACGCGAATTGTACTAGCACAGTGCGCTGTATGGTCGTGGTACGTACCATACGCCGTGAAAGGAAAACCACCAACAGGAGAGGAATCATTTATGTAAAATCTGCTCAAACTGGTTGTGACTGAAGAACCAATTATTTATCTCTTCAGCCATTACTCGAGGATGGATCCAGTAGTGGTAAACATCTTTATGTGCCATTTTTCAGGGTGGCTGGAGAGCAAACTCTTGGTATTTTGGTATAGTTCCTTTCCGAATGTACGAGCACGGGCAGTTCACGGTTTCCGAAGATGTCTCCCCAGGACTCGTGAAACTCGTTCTTGATTACTCGCACTCGTGTGTGGAAATACCCAAACAATGACTGGAAAGGTAATTCTTGCTCAATTCGGATTGGGGCAATTTATCAATTTTGAAAATGTACTGTACTCGTATGCCTTGGCCAATTTTTACCTACATTTTCCAGGAAACCATTAATTGAGACTCTCAGACAGATTGCCACCCTTCAAACCCAAACCCGAAGATCACGGTCTTCCAATCCCTGCTTGAAATCAGGCAATTGTTTTTTCCTTGCAATGAGCAACTTGATAGTGACCGAGATCATACTTTCTCCCGGCTGTCTTGTATAGTGCCGGGCTCCTAAAGCCGAACTTCTATTCCCCCTTAGTTTGCTTACCGTAGTACAAGTAGTACCGTAATGCGTGCAAGAATCGGTGTGTTGGCATAAATTTGTAAGTGTGGTACTTGAGCACAAATTCATTTAGGGTGCACATGAACTAAAAAACGCAGCAAAATCCAATACATGCTGCATCATAGCCTAGTTTGCGCACCAGTGTGTTCCCCTCCAAAAAATTGCCACCTTATTGTTCTCGACTGGTATTCACCCTGTAAGGAAATTAACTCCCCCGAACTGAGGTGGTGCTGATTCTGAGCAGCTCTCTGAAAGACAAAAAACAAAGTTCATTGTGGTGGTCGCTCCGGGGAGGGTCGATTTCATGAGTCCGGCAACATACACGTCCAGGCGCATTGAACCAGAATATTTGACTCCGAATATAGTATAGGCGCTCAGATGTGCGCACACAATTTCCCATACTATAATAACCGTGGCAAGGTTAATTTTTGATCCCTGTGTTCGGGTTCAATTTGCCTGGGACGTGTACTCGTACCGTTACCGCACACGAGAGTCGTCATGAATAGCTCAGCTGAATTATGTTTTCCTTGCCGCGAGACATGATTCAGAGTATCATTAAAGGTCGTTAGATTAGGCTATGATCGCCAGAGCCACCCCCACATACTCGAATAATTTACTGTACAGTGCTCTTACAGCCTGCGGGAGAAAAAAATAAGGGGAAAACCGGGATTCGAAACGCGGAAACCGATTGGCTTGAGCACCCAACGCTACAATCAGAACTCCAGATCCCGTGTCACCCTCCGATTTTTGATTTTTTTTAGGGCAGGGTGTATTGCGCTGGCGCGCGATATCCCTGTTTTTTTCCAATACTCGAGTACTCGTACAAGTGCTACTGTACAGTAGTACATTCAAGCACTTTGCCGCACCTGCGGGTGGATCAAGTCGATGCGCAGATTTGGCTTTTCTGGGGGGGCTGTTCACCCTCTCCTCAGAATTGGCTGTATGCCTCGCTTCTGGTTCTAGTTGCAGCTGCTAATGTTAAGTCGTCAAATGCTCTGGGCTGAGCCGCTGGGGTTGTGAGTGCCCAGGCTACACTGAATGTGCGACATAAGAATAGAGCTCTCCTGCTTACCGTAACAGTCTTAAGAAGTTAGAAAAAAGCTGTCTCTATTCCCCCCATCAACTCCTCCTGGCCGCTTCGTCAACATGGCTAACCCTGGAACGACCGCTGCTATCAACCAATCACCGGGGTCTCCTACGCTCTCTAGTGGTTGGGAAATTATCGAGGAACAACGAACTTTTTACGATGAGCAAGATTGCCTGCACCTAGGCCGTAGCCTCACGAGTGACAGATTGGGGGATAGAGAGGAAAATGAAGTCGTGATTTTTGAGTATTCTCTGGACCCGGATTTTCTGGACCCAGAGGATGAGAGTTCTGGGGATGAGGAGGACGAGTCTCCCTCTGGAGACTATGATGTATTCTATCGAGTGCCCAAGGATAGGCTAGTGGGGTCCGGACAATTTGACCAAATAATCAACCCTACCAGAGATCCTCGCCCGATTATATCACCGCCACCGGGACAACGGTTGGGCATTATGTAAGTCTATCTTCCAATGATCGCATTTCCCATTACCCATTTGGACTATGAACAATGCTGTTCTGCGTATATCTTACTGGCTTCTATGTAAGCCGAATTTGTCCTTATGGTGCTAATTTTTTGCGGGGTTTTTTTACAAGAGATTTTCCCCAGTGTTATGATACAAGCGTAAGTTTCTATGTAGCCCAGTCGTAATTTTATATTTTACAGTGGTTGCTTACTAGAAATAGGATGGTGGCTTATTAGGCGCGGTGGCGGAAAAACTCGGCCTCCCAGGTGGAACAAATTTCGGGGAGACACATTGGGCAAGAGTTCGAGCACTGCCTGGTCATGGAGCCTTTAGAACCGGTATTTCATTATGGGTACCTTCCAGGGAGGCGTCGCAGCCCGGGGGTAAGCTCGCCCTTTTCGCGTCGCTCCCATATTTTGGGAGGTCTAGCGACGGGGCCCAATTGGGCCCTGATGACGAGAGCGTTGGACTCTTAGATTTCAAGCGCCTGGGAGTTGGTCTTGCTTCCGGGGCCATGGAAAGAGATGATATAGGAGAAATATTAGTGCATCAAGCACGATATATGATATTTGATAACTGTAAGCTATAGTTTTTGGCCCACTGTTGACCTGAACATCTTTGCTGAGTAATTTCTGAAGACACAATGGCGACATTCAGATCTAAGGAGGACAGTGTTAGGGATCGGGTCCCACTTCATCGCTTCCAGGAGCGTGTTGGCGCCTTTCGTGCAATGATTCATATGATTGCCAATCGTATGGACTTAGAATTATGGACATTGGGGAAGCTTCAAGCCTCCCTTTGCAAAGTAGTCAGTCCATTCTCTCCTTTAGCGAAAGAAGTCTAGCATTAATTTTTGAGGGGGTTAGGAGGAGGGTATCGACCAAATGATATCAGATGCAAAAACCTACGAGAATAATCAAGGGATGAAAGGGATCGCCGAGGATTCCCCTCCGGGACTGGTGTTACCACCGGAAACGACCCCGGAAAAAAGAAGGGAACTGATTGAGGATCTTGAGCGAATCCGGCAGGATAATGTTTGGGGGAGAAAGCAGAACAGAGTCCGAGAGCTCCTCGCCTCCCTTAACAGGCTTTCGGCAGCCTTGTTCGCGGCTATTAGCGTGACCGAGAGGCAGATTGCTGTTCTCCAGGACCTACACAACGTATTATTGACTGGCCACCGGAGAAAAACCGGGAATCCCTTCTTCAGGATTACTGCCCCGATCCCTATCCTCTCGAAAAATCGCGAGCAGATTTGGCCGAATACCCTGGACACCATTGACGAGGTGGTTCGGGAGAGGAAATCATTCATTGAGAAAATCAAGGAGTTAGTAGAAAATATGAATGTTAGAAAAGAAATTGTACAACCGCCATGCCTAAACTCACGGCAGGAGTACTAACGACTCGATAGCTTTTCGGATTCTTGAAGTCTGATCAGGCTAAAGCAGCCCCCTCGGAGAGAACGGCTCAGAAAACAGCAGAAGCTATGAAGAGCACTGAGAATGCTATTGAGAAAACTCGGGAAGCACTTGTGCAGCAAGCACAGACCTTGACTGGTTTTACTGTAGTGACGACAGCGTTTCTCCCTCTCGGCTTTTGTGCTTCGGTATTCTCTCCGTCCCTAGTATGAGAGCTTTCTGACAAGAAACCTTATTAGTATCTCGGCATGGACAACCTAAAGTTATTCGGCGATACCAAGATGTCCATACTCGATTTTTGGCTGATCACAGCCCCAGTGACTGCTGCAATAATACTATTAACAGTAATAGTCGTCTTCTGGAAACGGCCGGGGGCTCCGGAGTTCAGGGAGCGTGCCGTCAAGAAATTCAAGGCCACTATTGACAAGATATTATGTCGTTCTCCGACTAAAAAACCACATGATGCTGAGAATCAATCTCGGGGTGATTCGCAACAGATCTAGGGTACGGTGCAGTCCTGCAATGACACAACCCCCCGCCTTGGACTGGTAGCGCCGAATCCCCCCACCCCCTACAGCCAGTAGCAGTGCCCCGCGGTATCTAGAGAGCGTAGGACTGGGAACGCGATAAAGGATCTGACGACCAAACCCTGCTTGACCCTCAAAAGAGCAGCCACGGCAACCGATGCGGTCCGGAAATGGAGGGGCTGAGGAAACTGGGGGGTGGACAAGAATCTAATCGCTAAGCTCTGTCTATGCCGGAAAAGCAGGGGTGGAACCATCACTGAAGGATAGAGGGAGTGGGTGGAGGAGAGATTTGTTTCTTCAAGAAGTATTTTTTTAACTTAATTTCTAATGCTGTTTAGGAGACGAGGGGATTTATGAGATTGTATCCCTTATTACTGGTTGGGTGGAGATGTGTATGTATGTTATCAAGGATGTTGACGAGGATGGGCTTTTGCTGGTCGACATGGTTGAAAGAATGCTATGAATATTTTCATAATAGTTGTTGCTCTACTGTTGGGAAATACCACCAGCGAGAACTAAAGGCACCGGAGACATGAGACCACTGTGATGGTCGATACTATGTACATGCGTAAAGTTCTGTGGTGGTGTGATAGATGACGTACACGCTTGGGCACGAGACTGATCGGTCTGTGAGAAAAGAACAACAGTAAATAGCTTTATCCCTTTCCTTTACTTATCTTGTTTTTACATATCATCTTCCTCTCTTCTCTCCACCCTGTTTAGCCGCTCAATAAAGACTGCCTTTTCGTCCTGGTCAGACTCATAGTAACTGAACGAATCTTAACATCTACTGTAATAACTCATCGCTAAAAACCCCAATAATTGGACTGTGCGCTATACTGTTGGGTTTCCCCTCAGCAAAGCCGGGATTCCCTTTTTATTTTTGCCATGTCAAAAGGGGAAAGGAGCTGTGTTCCAGCTGTGTTTCTTTACCCCCTTTCTAATGAAACCTAAAGGAAGCACGAAAGGATGAAGTGGTGAGGGTGGAATCACTATAGACGATAAGTGGAGATGAACACGGAAGGAGGGAAAATCTATGACTGACAACCAACCTCCTAACTAAGGACAGGACCGGAGGTATATATATCCCAAACTCACAAAAACTCAACCAACTCCAAAGAAACACACCAAGCTAATGAACCATGATCTCAAACAATTTAGAACCATCCCTGGTGTCTCATGATCCACTATGATCCCTCAAGCCTCTGCTCTATACGAACTACCATATGCCTAATAGCGTAGTGTGAAAGAAGTAACAAAGGCCGAAAAACCTATATCCTATGCCTAGTGGCAGAGGATGCGAAAGAAACAATATCACGCCTCATGCCTGGTCACCGCACACCTCAAAAACACATGCCCGATAACCTTCATCTGCCTAATCGCATACCCGAACCACATCCACCAAACCTCATGGCCATTAGGTATTCCAACACTTTTAGGGTGAGGGGATTTTGGACAACATAGCATAATCCAATCATTCGAGATTTTACGACAGCAAGAACCACTTTCCCATCTTCAGTGGCATGTAACTTACAGTATCAGCGACAATATTCAAATAGTGTTAGCATCCCCCTCCCGGAAGTTTAATCAGTTCTTCACCGCAGCATTCAAATAATACTATACAATATGGTGCCGTATACCCTATACTATTGGCACCTGGCCGTGGTTTATAGCCGTAAGGGGCGGTTATCGGAAAAAGGAATCTCGCGCTACGATATAAAGTTTGATGCTGAGTAATGAATGCTTCCTTTTGCTGTAGGAGCCAGTATTAGACAAAATACTAATGGATTAAGCTTCCTTACTGTTGAGTGTTGTTACTATGTACGGGCAACGACCTGAGTTGTGGGATGTGTTCCGGTGGTATTAGGGTTTAGATAGTTATGGATATAGGGTTAGATCGTGGTGCGCACGATGGTTACCACTTGTACTTAGCCAGCAGGTAACCGCCTGAGCAATACAACTAAGTTCAATCCTTCTTACAAACACACTCCTGCCCCACACCCCCCGTGCAGCCACGCATCCCCCCACTCAACACTTACAACAAGTGGGTTTAGATGCAAGCGGGGGTTTGTGGGTGGTTAGACAGGAGACTGAAAGCTGAGGTTTGTTTGGTTTGTGAGGAGGATGGTGTGTAGGAGGATGTTGCGGGGGGGGGCCAGGTTGGACCCGTGATATTCCTATCCGAAATATCGGGGTTCGATTGTGTATTTGGGGACTTGTATGGAAGGTCCCTTCCCTCGGTATCATACAAGCCCACCATGTTCGTGCACCCTCTCGACTCTTACATCTCTAGTGAAATCCAAAGCGTTTTTTTATACGGGCCCGCTCAGCGGTGTGTAGCGGGTTTGCGATCAGTTACCGCACACTATAGTGTTGTATCGTATCGTGCGCGATGTAGAGATACAGTTCAAAACCAAACCATCACCGCTACGAGTGACAGACCATGACCATCCATACGCCTGACAGGCCGACCGTCCGACATTAAGTCAAGGATCAAAAAAACTAAGCCAAGCGCTACCAAGGGCAGATATCGCTGAAAGCCAAAAGTTGCATTGAGCAGTCGCTAGATCTCGGAGATAGGAGTGGATTGATTATCCAAAGTAAGAAGTATTTTGCTTTCCAAAGCTCTGTTCAGCATGTACCAATATAAGAAAGAAACAATATTTCCTAAAAATCTATCTTTTCCTGAAATATATGTGTTGGAGTGTGTCCGTATTTTCTCGAGTCTTTGCTTCCTTAGATGTTTAGAATGGCGGGGAGGGGGCCTGGAAGGAAAGAGGATTATCAGATAAAATATTAAATGAATAATTATTTTTTTACCTAAACCTGTAAGCGTTGGCTTTAAACTGTGGCCAAATGCTCTCTTCAAACCTTTTCCTTCTCATCCTGCCAGCCATATATACCCTTGATGATCTTTCAAAGCATGGTATTGTAGTTTAATAAACATTGTGGCAACATATTATTCAAGAAAAATCCCGATTTCTGTACGAAGCAGTGGCTCTGCCACCCACCCCTTGCCCCCTTTCCCCCTTCTGGATAAGAGATGGCGGTCAGGTAGTAAATAGCATGTCCTAACAATTTTTGCGAGAAACAACACCCCAACCGCCACGGAGAACTGGTGAGTATCATACTTGCTATTATACCTTCATGATATCATTCTCGGAAAAAACATACTATCAAGAAGGTCTCACGCAGCAATGAACAGCATGTTTACACACCTTCCCAAGTCTTTTTGCCCCTCTGTTGGTATGGAGGAATCAAGGAAATCGCAGAAGAAGTCAGGAACTATCATACCTGGGGCATGCTGATACGGGCAAATAGTTTCAGCCAACACAGAAATATTTTCTGATAGTAAACAACATATTAAAAATCTAACAGTCCACTGGATTTGTCTTTCATTTTCCAATATTGGTTTTAGGTTTTTATTCACTATTTCATAGATGGCGAAAGGTGAGGTAGTTCCATGAAAAAGTTTCATCTCTTCCATGGTAAAGTTATATTTCCTAATTGATGATAGCCGAAAGGTGTTGCTGCCAAGAGGGTGGTATCTAAAAGATTCGCTCTCGCCCTAAGTGGTCGGGGGGAGCTGGCGAGCCAACTACTCCTTATACCAGGACTGGAAGAATGGGTTTTCGACGTACCAGTACTCGGCTACGGGTGTTGAATACTAGCGAGTAACAAGCGGTCAGAAAACCTTCATAGTGTTGTACTTTCGTTGGTGACATTTCTTGTCCGTACTGTATAACTTAAGTTAGCTATAATGACCACTAAAAATTTGGATAGGGAAAAAATATGTTTTGGGAAGCGGCCGGTGGATCTGAAGGGGGAACCTCCCGATCAATAGGAGGCATCGAAGAAGCTTAAGGGGGAAAATTAGCTGTAGGCAGTAAAATAAGGATTTAACTGCTCGGGTATCGCTTGCTCGCTTGCTCGCTTGCCTCCTGCCTTCTCCGGTCCAAGCTCTTGCCTTACCTGTCCCCGATGCTCAATCTTGATTCTACAAAATAGAAGACAAAGACCCCTCCTTATACAGTACTCTAGCGCGAAGAATGTTCAGCTACCTCCTTAGCAATGATTCATGGCACCCATAAGAACGCCCGACAACTTTCTGCCTCGCAATCGTTCACAATAAATTTATCCTAGAGCCTTTCCACACTAAACAGGTGTAGTTCTCAGAATACAGCAAAACCGGGACTTCTCAGCACGGCCGTGATAAAAAAAAGAGATAGTCCGCGTAGATTTTCTCCCGATTGCCTAAATGGGCCAGTGAATCAAGATTCTAAACTGGGCTGGAACATCTAAGCGGCTGAGCCAAGGGCTGAGGGGGGAAGGTACTTCATACAGGTATTATGCGGGTAGTTTCTGGGATGACTGCTATCTCCGCATCTTGATAAATCCCGTGGTAGCCCGCGCTGGATATTACTTTCCTACTCCCACACCTCATCTTTGTCCGGTCATTCCAAACCGTCTCTATCTATCTCCTCCTATAATATCTTTGCAGACAGCGCCGCGAAATGCCAACTCCCCCAGTTCCTAGCTCTGAGGAGATTTGCGCTAAACTCAAGGATCTGGTAATGAACGGCCGAACCGGCTTGCAAAATATGTATGGTAGAACAGAAGTGGAGTTGAATACAAATCTGGAGGCACCAATTCGAAGGGGAGAGGAAATGGCGGTCAAGCTAGTTAAGGAGAAGGGTTGCGGTTATGAGGTTGCTCTAGATTTAACTGTACTGACGCTTTATGATGTGGCCATTTTAATCGGTATGTTCTGGTCCGAGTACGAATTTCTTAGGACTTGTTTTACTCATAATAGGATGGATGGATGGATAGATGACTCGAGTTCCATGGTCCACGAGGAGGGCGGCAAGAGGAAGGAGACCCTGATACAATATATCGATCACATCACGGAAATCTATAAGTTGGCGAATCAATCCGGTATCCTTGCTATGCGCTTTATGAACCGTGGAGGGGGCAAAAAAGACTGGACCGGGCAGTCGAGACAATATCTGGAGCGCCACAGTTATGGCGGCGTGACAAGGATAGGAACGGAACTTCAGAGGAAAATTCTGAAAAAGTTTGCAATGGGGAATACCAACCAGAGCAAACCTTTACTCGTGTTAATTGTCACGGATGGCCCGGTATGCCTTTCTCCTAAAGTTTCTAAGGTCATATAATAACATCGGAAAACAGGTTGAGGGTGAGAGAAAAAGCCACCTACAAGATGTTATTCGGAACTGTGTGCATGAGCGTGCCGGAGCCGGCAAAGGATTCGAAGGTTGGTCTGTCATGGAGTTTTGACGATATACGTTTACCCCAGCGCTTACAAATGGTTCATAGCTGTAGCATTCCAATTCTCACGCATTGGGGACGATGTTGGTGCAGCCCAGCTGCTGCGAAATCTGGATCAAGATCCTGTCATTGGAGAGTACATCGACGTGTTGCCAGTTGAATTCGATCTTGAAAAGCAGATGGAGGACAAGTGGTTTGTGGTACGCCATAATCTAGGCTTCCCCGAGCTTATTTATTTGAAATAGAAGCCCCACTGACTTGATATTTATTTTTGGAAAAACAGTTACCGAAGATCTTGCTTGGCGCAATTTTACCCAACGTATGGTTCCTTCATCTTAACTCTCTAGCTCGGTATTCCGCTAATTGTGGAATACAGTGGGATGCGCAGGATTACTATGATTTTACCAGGCCTGATGGCCTCCTCCCTCGTGCGAATGATGACGATTGTGATTCTGGAGATTACTGGGCTGACTGATAGATAATACCCCGAGTTCGATATGGAGGTTGTTGGGCACCGCATCTCGAATGAATGTTTTCTCAAATCCAAATTGAGTAGGCGCATTCTGGCTTGGTTGTGGCTTCTGGTTTTTACAGGATTTTTTACTGTTACCGGTTGTGGTCCTGGGGAATAGGAGACTCTGAGAACACTCTCTTGTATAGGCATAAGGATATAGGTTGAAAAGGCAATAAAATACTTGCGAATTCTCGGTAGGTTTCTACCCGTGATATAGTACTGTACAACCAGGTGCAGCGAAATGGAAAATTTACTTAGGGGCGTTTGGCTGTGCGATTCGGCTTTGAGGTCGGGATTTGAGTCCACGTCTTGGCAACTTTAACTTAAACTATCACTACTATTAATCTTGTGTGGTACCTGCTTGGATTTCTGGGTAATAATCTGATCAGTAAAGGTCTCATCTAACCTATGATACCACCTATTTTTCAAACATTCCCCTCAAATACCACTATACCCTCAGATGCCACTGCAAATCTATCATGTAAACTTCGTTTATAATTAAAACAACAGTATTAAGAGAAAATCGGACGTCGGTATGCTCTGAATCTACAATACTGATATATTATAACAAGTTCTGCTAAAAGTACTCAGCTTGTGGTGGTGTTTGGCATAACACTGCAACATGCCGACAGTCTCATAACTAACTTTCAGTTTCCATTACTATATTTCTACATTTCATAGGGTTTTTGTCTCTGGATTCTGTGCTTAGATCTTGTCTGTAAATCCCTTTTTTTTAAACTCATTTGTTGAAAAATGGGTGGTAGATGAGGCCTTCATCGTGATCTGAATTAGAGTTGCCAAGATGCAATATCAGATCGCGATTTCAAAACCCAATTGCGGCAACCAAACATAAATGGGGAGAGTACCATAGATTGTTGATGCCTCGGAATTTTTGATAGTTTTGGACGACGGTTTATTACAACACGCGCCGCTCAGAAAATAACTGAACCTTATTAAACACTTTCACAAAATATCACTCGGTATATGGTCCTGTTAACTATCATAGACCTGTCATCTCGGTAGGAGGTTCCGGACAGTGGCCCACTTGGGACAAGTGGATCGCATATGATTGGGGGAAGTTAGAGGAGCTTACGGTCGGGGAAGACATGGGCATTATAAGGTGATGTAGCACGAATGTCTAGTCCATGGCAAAGCTAGAGGGTATAGGGCACAAAAGCCGCGTGGGCCACCCAAGGTGGGAGAACCACGCAAAGTCTCTTAAGGTGGGAGGTAGATGGTGCGGTGGCATAGTGAGAAGATTCACTTGGAACGGGGGGACTATGTAGGAGAGGTAAGGGGAGTATGGTCAACTACCTCCTCTTGGCCGGTCCCCCCCTCCTGTCGCTCTCTCCCGCTCTCATACTGGGCTCTAAAGTAAAGTAACGGTAAAGACTGTCTTATAAATAAAACGGAATCAAGACATCCTGATCATTCCACGGGCAAACGCCACACTCATCTCTGTCTCCACGCATTCTCCACGCGCTGTGGATCCTCGTTTGAGGAGGGTGGCGTTCTTTTCGCGCAATGGCAAACAGGTAAACGATGACCGACAATAGAGGATGGACCAATTCTCCGGTAACCTTGAAGTGGTCTCTGTTAGCCTCACCGGGGGTTTATTGTTCTCACCTCTTTAGGTTTGATTACAACAATCGGTAGTAGGTCTCCAAGCAGATTGCAGAAAGGTCAAGTGTAGAGAGCAGATGAAAGTCACCAACGCTGGTTAGATGGAGATGATGGAAATTCACTGGTCGATGATCTCTCGACCCGGGAACTGAAAACCTTTCAGAAACTCAGAGACTTTCCACTGCTGCTCGGAGGTGTTCTTGTCTTCGTTCGCTCTCTCTCAGGAATCCCCTGAACTAGCTACAAATAGGGGTAGTCCCCTTGCCCATAGTCTATATGAGTGCTGACGACGATACCTCCCGGCTATATACTGACAACACGTAACCACCACTCTCTGTCCATTCTCATACCTAGCAGCATGTCCCGAATTCCTCCGAACACACTCTACAAAAACCCCACATCCTGTAAATCATTTGGCCAGATTTCTGTACACGACACTGGAAACGTCACGAAAGTCCCCTCCTCGAAAAGGGCCTCCCTTGGGACCAGGCGCCGGGAGGACTATTTCCTGCAGTCTCTCAAATATCCCTTGGGCAGTCGTTCAATTGGTTCTGGCAACACACTTACTGCTTCTGGCGAAAACAAAACCCCAACACCTCCGAAAGGTCCATTGACCTGCTCAGAGCAGTAGGTGTGATGGCACATTTTGCTTGTGTCTCCGAGCCAAAAATTGGCACCTCTTTTTTGTGAAAGCTCCCACGAACCCATAAAAAGGATAGAGTTCAGGCTGTTTGGGAGACTGTGCCGTTTGAGTAGGATACTAGTGTTCTGCAAGAGTGGTTATGACAACGGCTCTTAGGAAGAATTAGACGTTTTGCTTTTTGGCCGCTAAATTTGCCTGATATAAAGGAAACTGTCTTAGCGATACTATGGTACTTAGCGGAGGAAAACAGTGAACTTCGATGATATTGATCTGAGCAAAACCGACCTATCTCTTTCTCGCCGCATCGGAGGGAAAGACAGATCTAAATAGAATACTGAAAGGAAATTCTCCTCATCACCACATGAGCCTCTTCCTTTCCCCAACTCTCCACCAAAACAAAGTCTATAGCTATTCTCTACAATTCCCCATAATGAAGCCACCGGCTAACCATTTCCATCATCCAAAAACCAATGCTTCCTGCTTTCCATCTATCGCTCGCTCATTTCCTGTCTCCTATTTCCTTCCACTTGCTTCTCTGCATCCTTCCAAACAAGGTCTATCAATGTCTTCGGTAGTCTTCCATCTCCTATTTCCTTCCACTCAGTTTCCATCAACAAATTGAACCATGTAGCAATTAGACAAAGGACTATATAACACAATATAATTTTATTGGCAGTGGTGAGGAAGCTGTGCAACATGATGTTTCATTCATTTAGCCCTAGAGCCGAAGGGTACTACTATCGGGGTCAGTGATTGTTGCTCTCTACGTGGTGGCAGTGTATGTGCTCCTAGTTAGCAGCTTAAAGACTATACTTTTTGATGGTCCACGGAGGCTATTCCAAAAGAGGTGCCAATCCTGGGCTCAGAGACACGAGTACAGTACTACACAATACTAGAGAGCGCCAAATTCCTGGTTCGGGTTGTAATGGTGTGGTGAATAGATCTTCAGGTATCGATGGGCGTTCTATTTACCATAGTCAGCGCCTCATGAGGGATATTCATGACATCCCACCATGGGGCTACCCCATAATTTCTTTTTATCTCTTCTCCAAATTGCCGGCTTTCTCATTCACCTATTTTTTTATCTATTCATTCCCTCATTCACTCACCCATCCGCCTATCGTCCACTCACCGGTTGGGCAGGGTTAGTGCTTTCGCTTCCCCGACCTTCGCGTTATCCCCCGGGCAGCAATTGAAGGTACAATACTGAATCTACAGTGAGTATTTGGTCAATGGATCGGCGTTATTTCATTTGGTTTGTTTTTGACCTTGGGGGAAATGGTCTTCTTGCTTGTATGTTGTTTTATGGTGTTCCATTACATTAGATCGATTGTGATAATGCTTCCGCGGTCATTATATATGTCCCATCCCATCCCATTACGAAGAGGCTACAGGAATGAGGATTATCAAACGTGAGAAGAAATAACCTTGATATGTATCAAAAGAGCCCGAATGCAAATAGAAAGCACTCTGTGATGGGTGTGGAAAGAGTCGGGAGAATAATTGTGTAAAGAAAATAAAAAGGGGTGGTGGTTATTCTATAATAGCCTCTAGGTACACTCTCGAGGATATGCTAAGATAGCGGGACCTGGGTGTCGTCATCTAGCAACTAGAGGCTGACATCTACGACAGGAGTGGCCTTCGAGACAGATAGTTATACTGAGTGGTTTCCGATCACGAATTTTTGTAGTTTTGGGGTCGATACAGGGCCGCAGTAGGTGCCTCCATATACACTCGCATCCGCTCTCGAGCACCTACGAGAGCGGGGCTCGGCCCCGGTTATCAGGCAAGTCGGGACTAACATCGTCTCGTTCCAAAAGCAACTTCACTAGACCATCGTGCCCACTCTGGACCGCCACAGAGAGCGGCGTCCGGTCTTTGGTATCAGCGAAGTTGGGGTTGACATCACTGCGTTCCAAGAGTAGCTTTGCTATCGCCTCTTGTCCATTCCGGGCTGCCCACAAGAGGGGTGTCCGGCGATGGCTGTCATGGAAGTTGGGGTTGACATCGCTGCGCTCCAAGAGGAGCTTCACCGCCCCCTCTTGTCCGCTGTGGACTGCCCACGCGATTGGTGTTCGACCCTTGCTATCGGGTGTGTCGGGCTTGACATCATCTCGCTCCAGAAGGAGCTTTGCTATGCTCTCGTTCCCTTTGTCCGCGGCCCAAGAGAGCGGGGTTCGGCCTGTTTTGTCAGGTAGGTCGGGCTGAACGTCACCCCGTCTTAGAAGCAACTTAACGATACCCTCATTTCCTTTTTCGGACGCCCACGAGAGTGGGGTCCGGCCTCTGTTATCCGGCAAGTCGGGTTTGACGTTGCTTCGTTCTAGGAGTAGCTGCACTACCGCCTCACGCCCCAATCTAGAGGCCCACGAGAGTAGTGTTAGGCCTTCGTTACCAAGTACATTTGGGTTGACATCGTCATGTCCCAGAAGCAGCTTCACAATACCTTCGTACCCCATCCTAGCCACCAACCAGAGCGGTGTTAGGCCTCCGCTATCAGGTGAGTTGGGGTTGAGATCGCTCCGTTCCAATAACAGTTTTACTACTCCCTCACGCCCAGCCCTAGCCGCCAACCAGAGTGGTGTTAGGCCTCCGCTATCCGTTGAGTTGGGGTTGACATCTTTACGCCCCAGAAGTAGCTTCACAACACTCTCGTTTCCTTCCCCGGAGGCCCATGAAAGTGGGGTTCGACTTGTTTCATCAGGGGAGTCGGGGTTGGCATTGCTTCGTTCTAAGAGCAACTTCACTAGGTCCACGTTCCCATCCTTAGCCGCCCAACAGCACGGTGTCCGGCCTTTGTCATCAGGTGAGTTGGGGTTGATATCCCCACGTTCAAGGAGCAGTCTCATTACGCCCGTTTGCCTGCTGTGGACCGCCCAAAAGAGCGGCCCTTGGCCCCTGTTATCAGGCGAGTTGGGGTTGATATCGTCTCGTTTCAGAAACAGCTTGACTGCACCCTCATTTCCTTTCTCGGCTGCCCACGAGAGGGGGGTTCGGCCTGTTTTGTCCGGTAAGTCGGGGTCAATGTCGCTCCGTCTCAGAAGCAACTTCAGTGTGCCCTCACGCCTACTCTCGGCCGCCCACGAAATTGGGGTTCTGCCTCTCTCATCTGCTAAGTTGGGATTGACGCCACTCCGATCTAGGAGTAGCTGCACTATTCCCTCACGCCCTAATCTAGAAGCCCACGGGAGCAGCATTAAGCGTTCGTTACCAAGAACATCAAGATTGACATCGTTACGTTTCAGAAGCAGCTTCACAATACCCTCGTGCCCCATCCTAGCCACCAACCAGAGCGGGGTTAGGCCTCCGCTATCAGGTGAGTTGGGGTTGAGATCGCTCCGTTCCAATAACAGTTTTACTACTCCCTCACGCCCGGTCCTAGCCGCCAACCAGAGTGGTGTTAGGCCTCCTCTATCCGTTGAGTTGGGGTTGACATCTTTACGCTCCAGAAGCAGCTTCACAACACTCTCATTCCCTTCCCCGGCTGCCCATGAAAGTGGGGTTCGACTTGTTTCGTCGGGGGAGTCGGGGTTGGCATTGCTTCGCTCTAAAAGCAGCTTTACTATGTCCACGTTCCCATCCTTAGCCGCCCAACAGCACGGTGTCCGGCCTCCGTGATCGGGTGAGTTGGGGTTGACATCGTCGCGTTCAAGGAGTAGTTTCATTACACCCTTTTGCCTGCTGCGGGCCGCCCACAAGAGTGGTCTTTGACCACTGTTATCAGGGGAGTCAGGATTGATATCATTTCTGTTCAGAAGCCGCTTAAGTAAACTCTTGTTCCCATTCTCGGCTGCCCATGAGAGTGGGGTTCTGCCTGTTTCGTCAGGTGAGTCAGGGTTAATGTCGTCCCGTTCGAGAAGCAGCTTCACGATACCCTCTCCCCCGTTTTCAGCCGCCCAGGAAAGTGGTGTTCTGCGGTTGATGTCTACAGTGTTTGGATTGACACCTCCATATTTCAAGAGCCGCTCACAAACCACTTCGTTATTGTTCTTGGCAGCCCATAACAGCGGTGTGAAACCTAGGAAATCCATTCCGTTCACCTCCCAGTCTTGCTTTTCTATCAGGCTAATAGCGAGTTCATCAATCCCAAGGAATGCGATAGTGTGCAATCCAGTAAATCCTTTGGGTGAGCTATCACGGCTATAGCCACCTGGCCAAAGACCCTTGTTCAAGAGGAGAAGTTTCGCAGAGATGTGTTGATCATAGCGGTCAAGAAGCTGGTGGGCAAGTAACTTTGCACAATCCGTGGCTTCCTGTTTAATATGAATGCCCCAGTAACAAGAAGCATATAAGAGCAAGGGGGTTTGTTTGGGGGAGGCCCAGAGCTTAGTTGATAGGGCCTTGATACTTTGAAAGTTGAGATATCTAAGACAAACCTCCGCAATCTTGCCGTGGGCTTTACCGAAAAGACCGGGATGCTTAATGAGATACTCCCGGAGGGCACAATGCACCAGGCGAACTCTTGATCCCCCTTCGCCAACCGTTACAAGTCCGAGGCAATAACTCAATAACGTCTCGATTGAAGGGACATTTCCCTGGTCAATGTTGGTCGATCCCTCTTCGACCGCCAGAGCATGGCATAACTCGTCAACTTCCAATGGCCGTTCGGATACTGAGACCCACATTAAAGCACCAACCCCCAATCTTTTTTGGTCTCCGCCTTGTCCCTTAATCCGCTCTATGGTTGCAGCAAATTCATCGCCCATACACCGGCCATTTGTGATCTCGTCGAGTGTTCTCCTTCTTTGGCCGACGGTTGACTGCTCTAATATCAAGCCGACACCCGAGGCTGCCAGCAGAAAACTGCAAATTGGTTAGTAAATGGTTCTAAAACTAAAACTACAAATGCTGTCCGTCTTACATACATTCCAGAAACCCCCCGCGGAATGTTCCTGAGGATTTCCTCTTTCAACCTTTCGTCCATTGCCTCAGGCCGTGGATCTCTGCCCAACCTCATACTCAGATATTCCTTAATATCCTGCTCTGGTGGTTTTGCGTCTATCGTCTCTGGGTCTCGGGTAAAATATCTCTTGGACTCATTCCGAATGTGCGGCCGACCGGTGAGGAATAGCCTGGTTCCCTGTGATTCTTGAATTATCTGTGCCAATGATTCAAAAAGCTTAGGTCGATGCCTCTCGGAAAACTCATCCAATGCGTCGATGCAAATATAGCTCTGTCGGAAAGACTTGAGATACGAGATTAGCAGCGCAAGGATATCAGAAGATCCATCAATCCGACGGCCAGAACGCCGCTTGAACGCCCTCATGATTTCCTCTGGAATTGGCTCGATGGCGCCTATGACCTGTTTGAGGATGGCTCCCAACACACCAGATGCGGAAAGCTCTTCCGGTTCGCGAAAGTCGCAGTACAGGTATGCGACAGATATGTTTCTTGGATCACTCTCGCGGGATAATGTGTCAATCACTAAAGAGCTGCACAAGGTTACCACTATTTAGCCTTGTTAATTAGTCCAGAAGGATGTTATTTCATACCTGAGGCAAGTTTTTCCAACTCCGGGACTCCCATAACACAACAAAATGGGATTAACCACCCCGCCCTCACAAGTGCGCCAATTTTCAAACTTATCAGTCCGCAAAAGCCAATTTCCTATACCCTCTTCGCAAGTCTCCTTCACTTTCTGATGACGTTCCGAGGGAGTTAACGGAGATACCCATCCCAAAATCTCGTTCCGCTCGTCGGGTGCGCTGTAGTTGTTAATGGTGTTATTGTTGGAGTTGTTGTTATTGTTCGAGTTGATGTTATTGTTGGAATTTATGTTATTGGAGTTGATGTTATTGGAGTCGACTGCACCTCCAGCGCTCACGTTTTGGGGGGTGCCCTCATTTCTCTCGACAAGGAGGAATTGGTCCCCGTTTGACTTTTTTGTGGGCTTGCAGCAGCTATTCCAAAAATTGTGTAAATTCTTAGAGCAGAGACACGAACACGAGCTATCCTCAATATCCGACATTTTGACGAAGAGGAAGAAAGGGAGGAGGAAGGTGATGAAATTCCATCCAGCTGAGGGAGAGCGGGGCCTTATGTAATGAGACTTTCTGGTAGCGCAAGCACCATCCAATAATTTCCACGTTAGGAAAGTCTTGGATGCAGCGCAAGCGCCGGACTTGCAGCACGAGAAGCGGGCTGAATGTTCACTGTCGGCGAGCGGGCCAAGAGGGTTCTCCTGCCAGCCACGCTAGAGAAAGTTGGGGGGCGAATGAAGGATGATTCAAACGCACCATGCATCGCTCAAAACTTAATGGCTAGTAAATAGTCACTTAGATTTTAGGCTGGAAAACACGAGACATTAACTTCAAAATTCACAAGAGCCTTATAAGCCAGCGACTACCGTACAGCACAACGAGTATAAGTGATGGATATGCAATCCCACTTGGTAGTTGGAAGGTACTCGTTCCATGGTTGTGGCTAGCTGTCACAACCAGCTAGTCACAGCCATGGCTGCTCGCTCTCTCGCAACCTAGGACACTCTTCCAGAGTGCCTCCCAGCTCAACATGCCAGTGACCTGTGGCTCGACATAACCGTTTTGTGGCTCAACATAACTTTCGTGTGGCTTAACCTTGTATGACAAGCTCTACATTTTTTGTAGCTCAGTGTATTCTTGAAAAGAAACTTTACAATTCTCTATCAATTTATAGTTCCAGATAGCCTAAGACTGGTAGATTAATATAACTTTAGCACTTAATAACATTGCAGTTCAAAGTAACTGGACAGCTGGATGGAAAAGGATGAGAAACAGCTGCGATGAGCTAAGAATCTAAAGAAACAGATAGAGTAAGAGCAGTGTAATCCACACCTGACTGAGATGAAATTGTATAAGAAAGGTAGGTAAAATATTATAGCTATACAAAGAAAATATCAAAGCTTATAGTAATGAGTATTGAGAAACAAGTCAAAATTCAAAAAATAAATGTAAATTGGAATTTCTTGTGTTGTGAATATATATAAAGACTTGGTAACAAAAAAGCTGTGTTGAGCCATAAAAAAAATTATGTTGAGCCGAGAACAGTTGTGTTGAGCTGTAGAGTTATGTTGAACTGGTAGCAGTGCTTTAAGTCGTCTACTCGAGTATATGAGTTTATCAGATGGTCCTCTTACAGCGGGTGAGAGTCACATGTCCCGTAATTAGAAATATCATAGAAATATAAATGCCTATGCAGTTGTTTAGCCCTTATGCCTGAATACTGAGTGTTAAGGGTAAGTCGTGCGAACTGGTTTTCATTGGTTCCTGGGTCACTCAGCCAATAAGAGAGCAGAATTTCATGAAGATTCTAGGGTCTGAATTTGCGTTGGCCTGACTGTTTTCCCCCTCCAAAAAAAAAGGGCCAAGAATTAACGAAAAACCGCCAAGATTAGCCCATCCAACGAGTACACTCACCAAATTCTAGCCAATATTAGGCTTGGGGGGCTGGAGAGATTTTCAATCTAACGGAGAGCCTTATGCATGCAGGTGGGCTACGAACGAGTGGCTGAATACCCGAGAACCGCTGGCTGTGCGTGTATCTATCACGGGACTTTCCCTGCGCATGAGCGAGCGAGCCGGTGTGCTCTCCCGGAGCCAATCGCGGATTAATAATGGAGAGACGGGGTGGGTGGAAAGGGGGTAAGTAGGAGGGATTGGGAAGAAAGAAGATAGCAATTTTCTTCCTTAGCAACCACCGCCGGGAGTCCCCATTCTACCCCCTCACCCCCCTAGGATCCACTTCTGGCTCCCTTCTCTTAGAATTTGTTTTACAACTAGATTACAAAATGTCAACATTTACAACTCCGTTTAGGCGGGGCAATGCCAAGGTGGTTTCAGAGCATGGGAGTGCGGAGGTCGGCCAGGTGTCTAGCTCGGGGGACGAGGAGAGCTACTCGGCCATGCCTGGCGGGAGACGTGGTTCCCGTGGAAAAGGAGAGGTTACGGAAGGTCAGAAACCAGCAGTCGAAAAAAATCCGGTGGCAAATTCAGCAGCAGAATGCCCAGAGGGATATTCTATCCCTGACTACCAAGAGATTTATGCAAAGCTCAAGGATGTTATAGTGGAGGTTCGACCGAGCTTGCAAAATATGTATGGCAAGACGGAAATGGAATTGAATGAAAGGCTAGAGGTGCCAATTAAAAGGGGAGAGGAAATGGCGAGAAAGTTGATTAAGGATATGGGATGCAGTCGTGAGGTTGCAAAAGAGCTCACTGTGATAACGCTTTATGATGTAGCCATCTTAATCGGTATGTTCCAGTACTGGCTTACATTTTTTAGGATTGTTTTTTTCTCATCGTTGGATGGATGGATAGATGACTCCGACTCTATGATTGACGAGGAAGGGGGCAAGAGGAAGGAAACCTTAGTAAAATATATCGACAACATCACAGAAATCTATTCGATGGCAAAGAAATCGGGAATCCTTGCTATGCGCTTCATGAACGGTCCCGGAGGGAAAAAGGACTGGACCGGGGAGTCGTCGCAAGAATACCTGAGTCAGCACATATATGGAGGAGTGACAAGGATAGGAACGGAACTTAAGAGAAAGATTCTGGATGTATTTGCAACTAAAAATCAGAACCAGGTCAGGCCATTATTAGTCCTAATTGTTACCGATGGCATGGTATGCCTCCCTCGTTGCATTTCTAAGGCTATATAATAACCATCTAAAAACAGGTTGAGGGCGAGAAGAAAGGCCTTCTGAAAAAGGTTATTCGAGACTGCGTGAATGAGCGTGAAAAAGCAGGCAAAGGGTTCGACGGTGAGTCGGTCATGGCATTTTGATGATATACTTTGGCTCGGATACTTACAATCAGTCGATAGCTGTATCATTCCAATTCTCACGCATCGGAAACGATTACGGTGCAGAAGAGCTATTGACGGGATTAGAGAACGATAGTGACCTCGGGAAGTTCGTTGATGTGTTGCCAATTGAATTCGATATAGAAAACCAGCTAGATAAGTGGTTTGTGGTGTGTCATAGTCTTTTCTCCAAGCCATTGTATTGAAACAGAAATCCACTGACTTAATATTTCTTCTTAAAATAGGTACCAAAGATCTTGCTTGGCGCAATTTTACCTAATGTAAGGCTTCTACACCTCGACTCTCTGGATTGACTCGAAAATCTACTAATAGTGGGGAGTAGTGGGGAGGGGGGAGTGAGCACGATATTGTCAAGCAAAAAAACTACCTCGCGGAGAAGGAGGAGGAGGATGTTGAGGATGATGATTGGGCTGAATGAAATAATACCCGAGTTAGGTATTTGATGTGGTTGGCATCTTGGGTGAGATGTTTTTCTATTTGAATTAAGCGGGCGCGGTGTGGTTTGGTTGTCAGCCCTTTCCGTGGTATATTTTTCCCCATTTATATAAGGGTGGTTGTTCTGGGGAGCATGGGGGTCTCCGAATGGGCACTCATCAGTTACTATTTTGTATAGGTGTCAGGATATGGGCTGAAGAGCGCATTCAAAAGGTTAGGTTTTTTTTTTTGGACCTGGAGTGCGAACTTTCTGATAGCGATTTTCCTGATATAGTGCAAGCAAATATAGCGAGGATGGTTGTTCCGGCCACCCTGCTTTCTTTTTTTCTCAATCAAATATATTAACAAATTTAAGGAAGTTATCACCAACAGCGTATTACTAGCATGAGAATTCTAGATAGTCTTAGGCAGTAATTTTGCGGAACACGTTCCGGTCGCACAAGGTTGAGCAACGCTCTCATACAATATCACTCGCGATACAAGCACCTTTATATACGCAGGAGATCCAGGATTGCAAAAGGGCTAGGCATAAGACATTGGTATGGCGAATCACTAGAATTCCAGTAGCAGTGTGTGTCCCCGGAAAATATGGCCCTGGGGGAACTTTATTTCCCCTTGCCCAGCTGGATTTGAGCAAATATAACAAACAGATCAGGTACCTAGGCTGTACCGCAACGTATCTGTAAAGGGAGGGTTCCCCCCAGGCCCTTATTGAGCAATGGAACCCTTGCGCTTTTAGAAGAGCTTGTCGCAGAGTACCAACTGCTTTTGACCGGGATCGTTACCCCTTCTCTCTTTGTTTCTATTCTTGGCTCGCCCCTTGGAGTCAAATCGGGACTGATGGCAAAGCCCGAGCGGCGGGTAATGGTAAGAAATACCAGTGTACAACGACAAAGCGAGACGGTAGTCGCCATAAATGAGTCTATTGAGGTGGTCCTACCAGACAAGTTTTACGCTCCTCACCCCCTGCAAAGAGAAAGTCACATGTGCGGATATAAGGCGATGGAAACATGTTCGTGTTGGCTCGCCCCCAATTTATTACTCAAGTATCGGAAGTCCTGTGAGAGATCGAGCACCCACCAGCCTGGGGTTCGGGGGTAGAAGATGAACCTTTCGCATGCAGATGGAGTGGTTGGTTGACCGGCATACTAAGTTCTCGAGTACCGCTGGCAGTGCATGGTTTTACCACGAAGCGTTCTCTGAGCATGGGCAGGTGAACTTGTGTCCGAGAAAAAGCTCTGGTTTAGTCGGCCATCAGGAGACGAGGCGGGAGGGGGGGGGGGTTGGGAAGAGATTGGAGGGGAAGAAGGAAAGTAGTTTCTCTGATTACCACCTTTTTCACAACTCAATAAATGCTATAGTAACCCATGCCAGAAGTTCTGTTTCTACTCGCTTATCTCACATCTCTCTGATCTTTCAGAGCTATCTCTATTTACCTTCTTTTATAATATTTCCTGCACCAGACTACAAATTGTCAACATCCGCGGTCCCAGTTCGCTGGTAAGTGATGGAGAGGGGTTGGGGCCTGGTGGTGTGGGGAGCGCGGTGCGGGAAGGGGGTCTGCGGGGGAAAGGAAAGGGGCTACTTGGACTTGCCTGATGGGATGGGGTGGGTCCCTTGGGAAAGCAGGGACTCCGGACAGTCAGAAACCAGCAGGAGTTCGAGAGGGAACTTCTGCCCCTAAACGCAAAGAAATTTACACAAAGCTCAAGGACGTGATAATGGAAGTCTGGATGGGCTTACAAAATATGTATGGCAAGACTGAAGTAGAGTTGTATAAAAATTTGGAGGTGACAATTAAAAATAGGAGAGGGAAAAAACGAGAAAGTTGATTAAGGATATGGAATGCACTCGTGAGGTTATAAAAGAGCTCACCGTACTAACGCTTAGAGGGGGTAAACTGACATCGGTCTCCCCCTCAAAAAAAAACAAGCAAAAAATAAAACAATAAAACAACGAGGCAACGCACCAGGAACGGGGAGGATCGTGCATTTCAAGGTTGCCCGCTCGGGTAGGCTCCGGTCCGTTCCCCCAGAGAGAAAAGAAAGAAAGAAAGAAAAAAGAAAGGAAGAAGGGAGGGAGGAGTCTCAGTAGAACGTCCGTTGGCGCTGCATCACAACAAACAGACCTGGGACTTCGAAACTGTAGGGAATGCGTCAGCTTAGGCGGTGCATAGAAGCGGGTAAAAAGGCGAGCACAATAAGGGGGCAGTTCGGGGCCACTCCAGTGGGGATTCCTCGAGAGGCTAAAGGTCGCTCTGTATTTGCTCCTGTAGGTAAATTATTTTGCCAGGGCTTTCCTGATGTAATAATGTCAGGAATCACCAGCGCTCACTTGGTTGGTTTCGCCACACGACCAGTTGTAATATGACTTCCAAATATGCATCGGTTTTGTCATTGACTACGACAGAATGTTTTTGGTATGAGCTCATTACTAGTTGAGCTCATTACATGGTTGACTACAGTAGAATTTCCTTGGAAACTCTATCTTAGTACTGGTTTGGTTTCCCCGCCCGCATCTCCCCTCCCTTTACTACTACGTTGTGTAGTATCGTTGTCGTTGATTTTTCTCTTTCTCTTGCGCGAAGCGCATGTCGTGGATGATTCTAGCGTGCTCTCTTGCAGCATGAATAGGGTCCAATAGCCCCCTGATAGAGCATCAATCAAGCAAGAAGTACAACTTCAAACCAGAATTACAACAGGATCTAATCTTGAAAGACAAGTGGATACGGTACATCCGGAGTTACTGCTTTCCACTTTGTCGGTTTCTATTCGGTACTGTTGGCAAGTGAGGAGGCGTTAAATAAACTCAATTAAGAGGATAGTGAGTTATATCAGCACATTAGCAAAAGCCAGTGCTAGAGAGAGGTACAATAGAAAAAGTTAAAATAAGGTCTAGCGAGGTCGGGAGAGAATCGCTGGATATGGTGTGATTTGGGAAGAAAACCGAAGTAGGGAAGCTAGTGGAGGGGATGTGGACCAGACAGGGAACACAAGCGGCCAGACCGTCAGGCATTGGGTACGGCAGGGCGGTCCCAGGATATTTCAGGGACGGCCTGGCCGGATTATAGGAAAGCGGCATTTCGAAATTGAAGCCCGGCCTGGCCCGGGCATCTGGTGGCCGTACCTGGGCACTTGGGGCTCTGACTTAGGTTGCTGCAGGATTCGACCGGGTGGTTTCTTCGGCACTTCTGGGTTTTGGCGGCTGTGGATAATTTCGACCGGACTGACTCAGGGTTTTCAAAACTATGGCCGGACGGGCAGCTTGGGATGCCTGGCTATGGTTGTTTAGTATACAGGGGCATATATAAGCTGCTGCCCAACCTCTGTCTCAGGAACTCACTAAGGACGAATAGCATTTCAAGGTCTTGCTGGCTCAGGAGATACGCATTCTGACGTTACATGGTGGTTGATCCTGAGAAGCAGTAAGGGTGGGAGCCCGGTTGTTAAGCACGGCGGCGATCATTTTTGCCACGAAACCGTACGGTTATCATACTGTGCAGTACGGTACCTCATCGCCCCTATTTCGGGTGGGAATATCCTTGAACGTTCAACATTCTTGCTCTTTAAATATATCAAGAGTGACCCACTTTCCAACGGACAATAAGATACTAGTTTTGGTCACCAATATGTACTCAGAGCACTTGCTTGATCTGAAACTTTCGAACTTCCCCCCCCCCGATATTATGGTATTTATACTAATGTGAAAACATTGGGACTTTTTGATTAGAATTGGATGGATTCGGGTACCGGGTGCCCGCGTACCGTAGTAGATGACCTCTCGACTGCGGCTACTCATCCGAGCTCTCTTCCACTGCAGGGCCAGGTTGGGCATGGCGAAACTAATGCTTTGCGGTAGGTTTGTGGCGCTTCTAAAACCCCAAACGTCCTCCGAACCATGGATCTTAAAAACTGGAGCATTTGGTTGTGTGATCCATAGATTTTTTTTACCCCTGTAATAATCTCAGCAATCTATGGGGAAAATAATCACCCCAGGTACTGTACTCGTAATTCTGACGTTGAATTCAGAGGACTGGAGCGCAACACCACCCAATTATTAATAGGAATACCTGTGGAGGATCGATAGCGCAGCGGTGGAGGAAAGACTAAGTGGCTATGTGGGGGATGATAGCAGTGCGTGGTCAAGAGTGAGACGTAAGAATAATAGCTTCGTTCGTCTCTCTGCTCTCTAATCTAACGGTAAAGACAGCAGAATAAATATAGCATAAACAATGAATCCTGATCCCTCCATGGATCGCTACACCTGTCACTAACTCTCTATGCATGTTGCCCATGCCTCCGTACACTCCCGTAATAACAAAGGAAAGACAACTATAGAAAATTCACCGTCAATCTCTGAACCCCCACACTGACCTACCGAACTCCTGAACTCTCCGTCGAACTCTCACAACTTCCACAATCAACCCTGATCAATCAACATCCATCTAGAACCTTCAACACCAATCACCCGCTTTTCAAGTGTCACGCTAACGCCTGAGGGCGCTTTTTTCTTAAGAGACTTTCCCCAGTGTTATGACACAAGAGTAAGCTACCGTGTGGTGTAGTTGTAATTTTATCCCCAAAACAATCGCTTACTAGAAGTAGGATAAAAATCTGCTAAATTTGATGGCGGAAAAATTCGGCCTTCCAAATCCAACTGCTTTCGAGAGACACATTCAAACAGAGTTATAGCGTTGCCTGGTCGTGAAGGTTTTAGAACGGGTATCCCGTTATGGATACCTTTCAAGGAACCATCGGAGTCGTCCCAGTCGGGTTCATCGAAAGATAGGTTCACCCTTTTCGTCTAATTTCCATATTTCGGGAAATCAAGCAGTAACACATCATTGGGCCCGGAAAGCGAGAGCGTCGGACTCTTGGATTTCATACGCCTGGGAGTTCATGACTCTGACCGCAGAGACGTCGTAAGAGACGAGGGGGGGGAGGAATAGGAGAGAGATGATATAGGGAAGATACTAGTGCACCAGGCACGATATATGATATTTGATAACTGTGAGCTATCCCATTTTGCCTCTTATTGACACAAACAGATTTGCTAAGTGATATCCGAAGATACTATAGCGACATTCAGATCTAAGGAAGACAATGCCAGGGATCAAGTTCCACTTCACAGCTTTCAGGAGCGTATCGGCTAACAGGACGGAATCAGCAGAGGGTCCCATATCCCCATCTGATTTCTGGCTCACTGCGGGCTCTTTAACTATCTCATCACTTGTGCCGGTGATACTGCTCACCACCTGGAAACTCCCGGCGACCGCAAAATTCAATTCCAACGTCAGAAAGCGATTAAGTCGGTCTCCCGAGGGAAA